CTGCTGACTGCGGTGGACAGATGGACAAGCATCTTCGATCGCAAGGGAAAGGTTGATGTCATTTACCTTGATTTCTCAAAAGCTTTTGATAAGGTTAACCACTTGTGTCTTATCAATAAGCTCAAACGACTAGGTATCTGTAGAATTATGGTCTACTATGATATTAGTACTGCTCTAATAATAGACCTAATCCTAAAATTGTAGATTTGTTATGATATAACTGCCTAATCTATAAGATCTTACGTGGAAGTCACACCATCGACTACACCAACTCACTGTATCGTATCAATTGCCAATACATGATGTAGAACAAGGTTAAGCTAGAGAAAGAACAATATATTTAATATGAATAGTAGATATAAGATGACATCCAGCAGGGACCACGCCTGCATGGCTGAGCCATGCCACTCGATCAACTCAGTCCATTCAATTCATTCTTCGCGCCTTCTCCATTGTTAGGTATTTATCCGCGTTAAATATTGAATATCTATTTCCTGAGTAGTCTCGTGTTCAGCTTTGTGGATTGTGCGGTTATTGTCCAATGCCACTACACTACTCTCCCACCAGAATCAACGTGATGTTGGTTCGATACCGAATTGGATGGGATCGTCGAGCGCCGAAGGTTACCAAGACTAGGAAGAATCCCCGGGTAATGATAGGCTGAAAGATAAATCAAAAAGAAGGCGGCAGCATCTGGTCGGGAAATACATGTAATAATTTTAAAATATCTGCCTTCATGCTTAACACACTTAAAATGACAATTTGGGTGAAGATTATTCGAGCTATAAAAAATGGGATTATAGTAATAATAATAAAACAATGCGTGTTAATAGCCGTTGGTTAATAACTTGACGTTTAGGTAGTAAGTTTTTTGTGTTTAGAAATATTAAAGTAATGAATATTGTAGAAATGTTAATATTGGTATTAGTTTTGGTTTAATTTATGAAACCAATTAACAATTATGCCGGTAACCCGTCCATATGTGATTTCCAATTGCATCTGTATTAGTAGGCTAACTGGAAGAACAAAAGTATTACCATGGAAAAGAATTCCAACTACTGTTCCAGTTAGTTTGATACGGTTTATTTAGTTACGGGGAGATTTTCTCAACCTCATTTTTACTTGACCGTGATAGAATTTAGTAATACTACTAATACACATGAATGGTTATCAAAACAATATTTAAATACGTGAGTGATGATTATATGAATTTTGGACAGATAGCTAGAAACAAATCGTTAAACATGAGTGTATTCGTAATAGACATGCTCTAAACTCAATGTTCTGAGTTGCCATAGACTATTTATACATATTTATACCTGACCGCTGACGATGCATACAAGTTAGTTGCAAGTATGCAGTTTATCATAAGGCGGAATACGACTCAATTGAGATATAGTGATAAGTTATTAAAATTAGTTAAGCCTATGGGTCATATTACGAAGTGATGTGGTGCTGCAAGATGTATTTAGCTAAATAAGTTTTTACAAGATGATTAATGGTGAGTGATGCTCATGTGATTATCAGGGAGAACATAAGTTGTAACCAGGGGGAGTACACTCCCAACTCATGTCTATGATAATGGCTTGAACCTTAGTCAGTGTTGGGGTAAATTCGACATTGATGTTTTCAGTTTGCAGGAGATTTGCTCGACTGCTTATACTGATTATTTGCATGCATGATTGTGTCGCTAAACCATCAATTACACTGACAAGGTTTTGAGATATTTACTGAATGAGCAACTGATAGAGAAACATACTGTAATCATCTGTGATGGATGAAGATACCAAGAAAACAACACCATTTAATGGTAATTATAAGTCAATTTGTTGACCGATTTCGTTAATAGTTTCATTAATTTTATCAGTCATATTACGTGATTGTCAAGTTATGACAATGCTTTATGACGATATCCTGAAACTATTAAATTTAACTAGTTATAGTGTTGATTAAGGATTAGTCAGTGGAAAAATAGGTGTTGTTGCTTTAGGTGATTCGAAATTATCAGAAATTTGTAACGTTAAAGAATCCAAGACGCCTAATTTAATTATAAATTTTAATTCAGACAGATTCGTTTAGTGTTAATTCTAGTAGGCTACGGAGTTTTGATTTTAAACGTTTGTTTAGCCAACAGCTACCTGAGGATTTAGTTATTTTACTAGTGCAGTTGATAGTACCTAAATTTTTAATCTTATTATCTAAACTATGTTCGCATTTTAGGCTGGTAATATGATAAACCAATTCATAAACCCAAATACGATTAGCAACAACGCTATGATGGGTTTACTGATAAATATTCAGGACGATTCAGATGATTCCTAAATTCAAAAGATATGAAGATATAGTGTAACGTATGTACGGGCCAGGTTAACATGCAGGATGTTGACGTATATAAAAATTTAAAAATAATGAACATGACCAGGGAAAGTAATTTTAAAGTCAAGACTGCTTATGAAACTTCAGGCAAGAATGTAACGCGTTATAAACATTCCATAAGAAGTTACTGCATTTAGCCTAGGGACACTTACAAATATGTGGCAAACGCAACTGGAAAGCATATACATGTTAAGTACAAAAAATCATTAAGTAAAATAGTTGAACTCGCCTGGATTATTTTTGAAAATTAGATTATTCAGTGGACGACATATATAACGCCATTCGTGAGGAGTAGAAATGATCCAAAAGCATCCAGAATAAAACAAGCAGTATGGCAATCACTTCCAGGGTGCTTGATGCTGTTGAGGTTTTTGGGACTCGCTCTGATCAGAACAACTGAATGAATCCAGATAATTGTGTGTGCCATTGAATGAGCCATCTAAAATGAACTTATGATTGCAGAAAACTTATAGCTGGAACTCACGGTATTTTTTACGGAGAAGTGTCATCCTTGTTGTTTGGCAATGGAACTCGAGAATATGAAATTAGGCAGGCAGTGGTCGGAAGAAAAGATATTACAGGATAGTGAGTAGTTTAAAACAGGATGAGGTGTTAAATGAAGAAACACTGAGAATTAGATCCAGATAACTATTCAGTCCTTGATTGTATTGTTAGTCAATGTATATTTACGCTATTTACAGGTCATATTTGCTAGAGCTTGATGTTTAAACAAGTCTATGTTGCTGAAGCATGTAAATGCTATTAAAGCTTGTTAACGAACCATCAAAGCTAGTTAGTTGATATAGATGACGAACTTTTATTATCGATTGACCTATTAAGTTATGTGAACTAATAGATATAACATTACGATAATATATGTGATCATTAATCAAAGGACTATACGAATACTGGGTTTACAAAAATAAAAACCGATTGAGGTTAAGGTGGAAATAAGGATTAACAGTAATGGGTTGCGTTTCTTTAGTTGGGCTCACCAATGTAGAATTATGGTCTACTATGATATTAGTACTGCTCTAATAATAGACCTAATCCTAAAATTGTAGATTTGTTATGATATAACTGCCTAATCTATAAGATCTTACGTGGAAGTCACACCATCGACTACACCAACTCACTGTATCGTATCAATTGCCAATACATGATGTAGAACAAGGTTAAGCTAGAGAAAGAACAATATATTTAATATGAATAGAAGATATAAGATGACATCCAGCAGGGACCACGCCTGCATGGCTGAGCCATGCCACTCAATCAACTCAGTCCATTCAATTCATTCTTCGCGCCTTCTCCATTGTTAGGTATTTATCCGCGTTAAATATTGAATATCTATTTCCTGAGTAGTCTCGTGTTCAGCTTTGTGGATTGTGCGGTTATTGTCCAATGCCACTACATATCAAACCACCTCTAATCGACTGGCTTACTTCATACCGAAAAAATCGACACTTTAAGGTTAGGGTTAATTTCACTTTATCTCAAGCTATGGAATGTCCTAGTGGGGTCCCCCAGGGCTCAGTACTAGGGCCTCTTCTCTTCTTGATCTACATAAATGATCTTCCTCAACAGGTAACGTCAGACTTATTACTTTTTGCCGACGACGTGAAACTTTGGAGAGAGATACGCAACCAAGACGATATACAGGCACTTCAGGAGGATCTGACTCGACTTCAAAGTTGGGCAGACGATAACGGACTTACCTTTAACACTTCAAAGTGTAAATTAGTCCATCTGCGACATGTCGCAAACTACAGTTACAACTTAGGAAACTCCTCTCTAGTAGTATCCCAAGTCGAAAAAGATTTAGGAGTCCTGGTGCCCCATGATTTAAAGTCTTACGCTAACTGTGACAAAAATGCCTTCCGCGCAAACCTTGCACTGGTAACGTTGAAGCGCATTTTTGGACAGTTTGACGGACGAACTTTCCATACAGTCTTCAATAGTTTCATCAGTCCCCATTTAGAGTACGGAAACATAGTACTCCCCCCTCACTCCAAAAGGACAAGGTCACTTTGGAGCGTATCCAACGGCGAGCCACGAAATCAGTTCGAAGACTCAAATCTAAGCCTTACGAAGAACGCCTCCGTTCACTAGACCTTTACCCACTAGAATATAGGCGTCTTAGAGGTGATTTACTAATGGCTTATAGTATTCTTAACACTTCTGGACATACTCTTAAACACCTACTTAAGCTTAGTTCGAATAATAACCTAAGGGGTAACACCCAGAAACTGGAAACACAACATAGCAAGACGGAATGTAGACACAACTTCTACTTCTTAAGAGTTGTCAAAAGCCGGAATTCGCTGCCGGCCGACTTAGTCCAAGCGACTTATCAGGAGTCCTTCAAGAGGCAACTTGACCTATTCTTAAGGACCAAGGACAGCATCACACTATGATTTACCAATTTCTTTTCCTCTTTTATTGTTAACATACCTAGGTTCCTGCCTGAAGGATTTGGTGATCCACTGCCACTAGACACGGAAGCCTGTTAAGCGAATTCTTCTTCCATTCCGTCTACAACTATTTGAACCATTTGAACAGCTTGAACTATTGTTTTTATACATTGAGAGCTCACCTTACTTAAGGTCGTGGCAATTTCAACACCAATGGTTTCGTCGCCAGCCGACTTAACACCCGATTTACAGATTGCTAAAAAGGCAATGGAATCACCTTGGGTCGAGAAATACAGACCCATTGATTTAAAAGATATCGTGGGTAATGAAAATACCATCTGTCGTTTGTCCGTTTTCGCTCGAGACGGCAACTTACCGAACATCATAATAGCTGTAACCTGTTTTTTATTTCTTACTAACCTTTCTGTAGGGTCCTCCAGGTTGTGGAAAAACCACAAGTATCTTATGCTTGGCCCGCACTCTGCTAAAGAGTGCCTATAAAGAAGCAGTCCTTGAGTTAAATGCATCGAACGAAAGGGGTATCGAAGTAGTAAGGACTAAAATCAAGATGTTCGCTCAAAAAAAGGTCAGTCTTCCTGAAGGAAGGCAAAAAATAATCATCCTCGATGAAGCCGACAGGTTAGCCGTTCACTTTATATAAGATTGTTGTCACTGAAGCTTTAAGTCCCATAGTATTGTTGAAGATTATCTAAATCCTCTATGTTTTTTGATACGTTTATTAATTTTTCCATATTTAATAGTAATACAGATCCATCGGGTAACACTTTCTTACTGATTACAATTTTTTCTGAGCTTTGGTCAACTGCCGCCACTCATAGAGTGTTACTTTGTCACTCACATTGTATACTGGTCAGGATAAACCAAGTTAATCCCTTGCGACTTATCAACATTAGTCTTACCAAAATTGAGGTAATCGGTCAATACTTCTTATCTTTTATTTTATTGGTTACGAAAACTCAACCAGTAGTTGGCAGAAAAGAACGACATTCCTTAATATTTTTTTCCAATAACACCGAAATTCACCATAAAGAAATATAACATAAGTTATAATATTCCTAGTATAGACATACGATTCGGTTTAAATAAACTACTCGACAGGAATACCGGCTAATAGCCACATTTGCCAACCACTAGTTACCTGTTTTATAAGTATTATACATTTTTCATAACGAACTGTTCATAGCGGTGGACTCTTAAACAGTCTGTTGTGAGTCCAAAGCCCTTCACCTAACAATTATTATACAAGCAGGCAGTGAAGTAGTTTTATCAACTACGATGCGTCGTATAAATATAGACCACTTTATTTTTCCCTGACTCATCCCAAATGTACTGAGTGTATGTTGTGCTAGTGACCGATCGTTGTTGTTACCTTGACGTTGTGGTCGGGCTTGCCTATCGTGATAAAGCAACCGAGCTATACTGGCTGAAACAACCGTCCCTCAAGGTACTGCCATGTCAGACAGGTCGGTTGAAGAGCGGTAAGATTGAAAGCAACAAACCCAAGGTTCGAAGGCGAAGTCGTACTGCTGACTGTACAGAGGTGTGACAGCAGTAAGGTGTTTCCTTCAGACAACCAGCATGACAGAGATGCTGCCTTCCCACAAGGAGGGGTGGGGTTAGAAAAGGTCGACCCTAAAAATGCACACCTCGCCTTATCCCACGGATATCCGTCTCCATCGGTAAGGTCTCAACAAGTACGGAGCTAACACGAAAATTACCCATAAAAAGGTCGTGTGTGACTGACCCCAAGCAGTTGTCCCTTGGGCACTGCGGTCACGCTCTCAGGTCACTGAGACCTCCACTAATCCAATTTCCTTTTCAGGTACCTCGAGAAGAACCCTTCCACGGTGTGGGCAACCGGGAAGCGATAACCGCCCTCATACCTCTAACAGCACCCGAGACCACTGTATTCATAATCAACCTTCCTCCTCAATTCCTATTATTCCTCCTACATCGACTTTCACCTCTAAACATCCTTTTTCGGCTTCCTCCTCAAATGTCACCATAACCAACGATTCTAGTGCATGAATCACTGTCCCAGGTCTACTGAAATCTCGCTCCAAACTACACATTGGAGCCTTCAACGTACGCACCCTATGTCAAATCTGTCAACAGGCTTCCTTGGCTAGAATCCTAGTCAGTCATCTAGAATCCTAGGACCTCGTAACATTGATGTATGCTCTGTCTCTGAAACACATACAGGATCCTAGTGTGCTCAGTCACTTAACCTCACCTCGCCAAAACGGAGGGCCGACGAAATACACCCTCCGTGTATCTGGTGACCCGACGGCCAATTCTCATGGACTGGCAGGTGTAGGCATATCACTAAGCATGAGGGAGGAACAAGCACTGTTAAAGTGTATCTCCGTTGATAGTCGTTTATGTGCTGTTCGGTTAAACGGCTCCGTAAGAACTCGGAAGGATAGGGACACACGTCGTTGCCTTTTCGTCGTTTCTGCCTACGCTCCCACTGACTGCAGCTCGGATGAAGTGAAAAATGAATTTTACAAAAAGCTATCTGAACTTCTTCAGAAAGCAAAACGTTCAGACATAGTAGTCGTAGGTGGTGACTTTAATGCCCAGATAGGTAGTTTAAATCAAACAGAAAGGCATTTAGGTGGGTATTTTAGTATTCCGGCACAACGAACAGATGATGGTAATCGTCTGCTGCAACTGTTCTCAAACAATCGTTTATTTTTAGCAAACACAAATTTTAAGCATAAGGAGAGACATTTTCTGATATGGTGGCTCGTGCACCAAACCAACGATGGACTCAAATAGACCATATTACCATCAGTCATCGTTGGAGAGAATCGATAGAAGATTATCGCCCATTCTGTAATACCTGCTTGGACTCCAACCATGCTCTAATGCGGGCACGCATCTGCTTGCGCCTCACTGGACGCAGAAAAGCCACACTGAAAAGACTCATTAGAATTGAATTGAGTGATGATAACACCTAAAATAGATTCCATGAATAACTGAGGTCACACTTAGGTAGTTCTGAAAATGAGGCTGACCCAGATTTTGGTTGGAAGGATGTACAAACAGCTGTGGAAACAACAGTGATATCTATTAGTGATTTAAATAAAAGGATTACAAAAAAACCAATGGATTTCTTCCAGGTCTATTGCACTCTCATCTGCTCCTAGTCCAGACGTTTAGAACGATGGGTGGAACATTTTAGAGAGCAGTTCAGCTGGCCTCCAGCTACTCTACAACTACCTTCCATTCCCAGACAGTGTGAATGGAACATTGAAGTAGGTTAGACGATTCTAGCTGAAGTTCAAAAGGCTATAGCTGATCTGAAACGAGGAAGAGCAGCTGGTCCAGATGGATTAACTCCAGAGGTCTTTAAGTATGGTGGTCTAGTTTTAGCGATTAGTTTGACTAGTATTTTAGCTAAAATCTGGGAGCTGGACGTAATCCCATCTAACAGGTCACAATCACTGATTGTCCCAATATATAAGAAAGGGTCAAAATCATCCTGTGATAACCATAGAGGGATTAGTTTGACTAATATAGCATCTAAAATACTAGCCTTGATAATTATCGGACGCCTAACTAAGACTCGTAAACTGCAAACACGAGAAAATCAGACGGGCTTCAGATCTGGTTGTGGCTGTATCGACCACATATTCACCATTCGTCAGGTTCTAGAACATAGGCATACTTATCGGCGTCCAACAATGGTGGTCTTTCTTGACTTAAAAGCAGCATTTGACTTGGTAGACCGCGAGATTCTGTGGCAGTGTCTGTCATTGAAAAGTGCACCTCAGAAGTACATAAACCTTGTGAAGGCTCTTTACTCGCACATTACTAGTCGAGTGAGAGCTTATGGCGAACTTTCATCTGCTTTTGCAACCTCAAGTGGTGTCCGTCAAGACTGCCCACTTTCTCCATTTTTGTTTAACTTCATCATAGACATACTGATGGAAATAACTTTCTCATCGACTGAATTCTCAGGTATTGATCTCTTACCAGAAGGTTCACTTATCGACTTAGAATACACAGATGACATAGACCTGTTTGGTGAAAACGCTGATAAAATGCAGAGTCTTCTGGTAGCACTAAGCAACAATGCCAGGATGTTCGGAATGCGCTTCTCTCCCTCTAAATGCAAGTTGTTGCTTCAGGACTGGTCTGCGTCAACACCTGAACTAAGGATAGGGAGTGAAGTGGTCGAACGCGTTGACAACTTCACTTATCTTGGAAGTCTGATCAGCCCTAATGGGTTGGTGTCTGACGAAACCTCAGCACGGATTCAAAAAGCTCGTCTGGCTTTCGCCAACTTACGTCACCTATGGCGAAGGCGAGATATCCGTCTATCAATAAAAGGATGAGTATGCTGCACGGCAGTTCGTTCTGTTCTACTTTAGGGCTGCTGAACGTGGCCATTAAGAGTCGAAGATACCCGTAAGCTATTAGTATTTGACAACAGATGCCTTAGAAATACTGCTGGCATCTTCTGGGATCACCGAGTAAGTAATAGTGAGGTTAGACGCAGGGTATTAGGGAATGATGGTAAATCAGTTGATGAGGTTGTGAATCTTCATCGACTGAGATGGTTGGGCCACGTGTTACGTATGCCTGAATACCGACTACCACAACGTGCAATGCTGACTGGTGTTGGAGTTGGTTGGAAGAAAGTTAGAGGCGGCCAAACCAAAAAGTGGCATCAGTGCTTGAAGTCACTAACCTCTAGTCTGAGCCATGTTGGTAGATGCAGACTACTTGGTTGGGGTCCGCGTGACTATCGTAACCAATGGTTGGATACTCTGTGTGACATGGCTCAGAACCGATCAAAATGGCGTAGGTGTATACACTCTTTGTCTTCCCTTAAATTAAGAGATTAAAATCACTTCATATCTTTTTTTCCACGAACTGATTCTTTCTTACTGTACTACGTCCTTATATGTAATCTTTCTTTTGTATATTACCATCACTACTTCTATGCATCCGGTGTTCATCTTGTTGTGCTAATGAGGTATGGCAACTTTGACCGATGCATATATGTGCCTGGTCCTACGTTTTAGTTGACTGACTTATTGAAAGTGATGTTATTAGTTCTAAGCATCAAAATAAATTAACGTAAAGTCAGACGGCTTAAACTGTGGTTCACCTATTTCAGCTTGTAGCATCTCATCTACAATTGTCTGAATACGTTTATTGTCGTTAAACTCCTCAATTAATGTCATTCAATCAATAAAAATTTGTCTGTATCTTTGTAGTGTCATCATATTTGTTTGAGCATGTATGATTGTTCACGTCATAGCCTACACATATGTTACTCCTACCAGCTCAAATTTTAGTTGCTTAAATCGCTCAATCATTCACTTTCCTACAAATATACGGTTCTTAAATCGTATTCATTCGCTCGCTAGTATTCTTCTGAACACGCATTTCTGTTATTCGCTTTGTGCTTGTGGCTTAGTGATCTGCGCTGCACAATAGAAAAACTAGTTAACGCTTCATATTGTCGTTTAAAGGTTATACACCATTGCGAGTTATCTAATTGTGATTATGAGGACAAGTAATATTCAAAGCATTATAAATCATCCTGAAGATATTACAGAACAAATTCCTACGTTGCTTATGGCGAAATCGGCGTTCATAAACTGGGAGAAATCTCAAATCGCAAAATAATTTCCCACACTGTTTTTAAACTTTGTGTTTCTGTTTCGCGGCAAACTAGTTTCAGTTTGATGACCTTAACTCCTTATCAAAAAATCTTGTGTCCCTGTTTCAAGTATGCGATGAAAAAGATCCACTAAAGCTCAGTGTATCAGTGTTTGGCTGTTTGTTTGATAGTTTTAGGGTTAACAGAGTTTTAATTGCACTTCGCTCTTACAAATTCTCCTCATTAGTGTTAAATTATTATTACTTCTACATATACTTCTCTTATTTTGTACATAAGCATGACTGAAGGTGCTCAACAGGCACTTCGACGGATCATGGAGTTATACTCTCGAACAACTCGTTTTGCATTGGCTTGTAATGATTCTTCGAAGCTCATCGAACCAATACAATCAAGATGTGCTGTTTTACGTTATGCTCGTTTAACATCTGCACAAGTGATGGCCAGATTGCTAGAAGTTTCGCGTATCGAAGGTGTTTCGTATACAGAAGAAGGTTTGGAAGCCATTGTGTTCACTGCAGACGGTGACATGAGACAGGTAAAGTTTGTCTTGTTTCTTATAACGTAATTGAGAAAAATGAAATATCCTATTATAAATTTGAAGAAAGTAAAAATGAAGATTTCAGTTAAATGATATAAATCCACGGACCACATCTGCTTACAACCTAGAAACAATAGAATTAACCATTAAAGAGCAAAGTAAGCATGGATATTGTAAATCAGCAAGGTGTTAATTAGATTTTGGCTCAACATCCAGATGTTGTTTGATGGTAGGCCAATAATATAAGTACTCTAGAAGAAATCTGACAGGTACATAAAAATAGTTTTTAAAAATTGAAAATTTGCGTCATAGTTTATATCATAGTTGAAAAGATTGGGTAGCTGAGTAAAGCCCAAATAATAAATATGAAATATAAAACTATAATAAATGCTCTGGATGTCATAATAATAATTAGTAAAGGACTTCAAATTTATTCCGCTTAGTTAAAGCCATTGTTGTTGAAAAAATTTAAACCAAATTTATGCTTCCGAAAAGTCAGTTACCAACCATGTTTTGGTGACCTCATTCTCATGGGTTCGTTTCATACGTGTATCCATTTTCAAAAGATGATTAGGTTTTTTAGTACTTAAAGTTTCTTTCAGACCTCTACTCCGTCAACTAGTATGGTAATTACTAACTGATAAAAAAACCTCTAAGTTCGGAGTTAGTAAAACATTCCCTAAAGATTTTTGTAAAGCGGTCATTTCAGGGTCCTTGGCTATTATTTGTTGGTGTGGCACTTGGATCGAAAGTTCAATTTAACTAGACTTCTCAGTGCTAAGTAATCTTGTGATATAAAATGGGTGACTGTCATCAAATGTTTTTTTAGCTTGTCAATAATGTTCACTACATCTTACGGTTGTTGTGCTTCTCAAGCTAAAATTTGTCGATAATATTCATTATAACTCGGATCCGTTGTTGTAAAAAGACCCCTGAGAATACAAATAGTGTTTATAATTAATTTTTTCAAAATAGAGATTAATGTACTTAATTGCATCTTGGCACCGTTCAGATTGTTTAGTGGCTTTACTCCTGTATCTAATCTGTTTGGTTAATTTGAGATCAGGAATGCACAATGCTAGATCAACATAAACTAGAATAAATTGTTCATTCCCTCCTACCTTGCCTTGATTTACCAACTGATGCTAATTCTTTCTAAAAATCGTCTCTGGATGACATTCAACGTGTAGCAGTTGTTTGAAGTATGCAAATTCGTCTATGCGTAAAAATGAATTATATTTAAGGTGTGATTTTTCTGTGATCTGAAATATTTTAACGAAAGTGAAATTCAGTTACTATTGAAGCCCATAATTTTTCCTCGTTATCACTTAGTGATCACTTCTTAAGGTGTAGGCTAGTTGATTAACATTGGTATAAATTACCAAGACAATAAGATAGCGTTTAACTTGATGATGTGCTTAAGTTCGTTGCATGAATTTACTAAGGTTTCTTCTTTGCTAAATTCCTCTCCAAACTTTTTAAACGGTTATAATAGGCTCTAAATAATCTCCAATCAACTTATGAAGGATTTGGGATGGTCAGTAGCGATAATGTCTTTAAAGTGAGTACTGTTTGTATTTTTCTGTTGGTATAATGTTTACTGTTTACAATATGAATTTCTTAATGAATCGCATGAATTGTCTGTGTAATCGAGTGATTGAATGTTAACCAGTGTACCTTTCACTTAGCATACACAAATGTTATAGTTCTATTTGATGAAGACGCTCGAAAAATTCTGAGTCTTCTGACCACCTTAAGTAACATAAATAGTATTCTTGAGATGCGTTTCTCCTCAAATGCAACATTTTGCTTCAGGATGTAACTAATGATAGAGTGAAGTAGTTAATGCATTGATCATCCCACTTATTTTGGAAGTCTCATCAGCCCTGATGGGATGGTGTCTAACAAAATCTTGGCATGAATTCAGAAAACTCTTTTTAGTGTCTTCCAAATGGGAGACGAGGTTACTGTGTAAACTAATCTTGAAAAATAGAGGATTGTCGTAAGTCACTAGTATTCAATCATAAGTGTTCTTATATTTTGGGACCGTCCAGTTAGCAACTCTGAGGTTAGACTCAGAGTAGTAGGTAAATATGGCGAATAAATTGACAAGGTCAGTCAGTCGCCTACAACGTAGGACCAGGCACATATATGCATTGGTCCATGTTGACAAGGTAGTAAATCTTCATTGACTTAGATGGTTAGGGAATATATTACATGGACACTGACCGTTGCACTGAGGTATGTGGAAACTACTTACCTGCCTGTTGTTCATCTGGTTATCGTAACTAATAGTCAGAAACTTTGGGTGACATGTCTCAAAATCGTTCACAATGGCGTAGGTAAGTCCATTATTTGTTTTCCCTTAGACACAAGTTCCTAAATCAGTGCCTGATTATTTCTATTACCGCTAATGCTCTTTACTACATCTTACTATGGGGGGTTTTCTTGACAAGTTCATCTCGTTGTGCTAATGGAGTATGACAACTTGAATTGATGTGCACATGTGCCAGGTTATAGGTTCCATATGAGTGACTAATTGAATGGATTTCACATATTTGTGCTCTCGTGAAGATGTATGCTCGGATTCTCCATATATATATATATAATCTGTTCTTTGGTAAAAGCCAACGCACAACACGATACAATCAGCTTAACCACCTCTAAGTGCTTTAATATTGGCTGTCATCTTAAACAAAAGACTCTTTGAATAGGATTAAATTACGATAAAATTAACACTTCAGAAAGAAATCTTTCTAAGCCTTCAGAATTACCATAAAAGTGAAAATAAGTTGATCCTCTTTGGATGTTAACAAGTTTAATAAAAAACCTAAGTGAACCTGTTGCTTAAAAATAAATGGCTTTTGAACAGTCGAACCATGAAGCAGAAGTTTTGATATAATCTGCGAAGCTTCAACAGCCAGAGTCAGATAAAACGTCTTTAGGAACTCAGAAAAGATTATCTGAAGTAATAATTTGCATTGGTGAGAAAATCACTAACTGTTCATTTTTCTCATTTAAATTCATGGAGATATAACGGAACTTATATACAGATAATTAATTACAATTGTAATGTAACTCACTAGATTCTTGTACCCCAGCTCCATATAGTATATTTAGTATAAGCTGGAAACACTATACACTTCCCCAAGTCAAAGTAGAGATTCAAAATGGCAAGTGTTTGAACTGCGAAACAAAGTAGTTCTAAATATTTAGTGTACTAGTTTGCACTAAATTTCATAATTGATCTACACTATAAGACGTGCTTATTCAGTGCGTTTTATTAAAAATGGAAATAGATATCACAGTAACTTAATCACTTTCAATCAGTTAATCGGTCTCTCGAAAGTAGAATTGTTCATTTGGTCTTTACCAAGCGTATCATTTCATTAGGCTTCAAATTTGTTTACACTTCAAACTGGCAACAAATTTCAATAATTTAAGATATCTGTTTGTCTGTACGCGAATTGAATTTGCCTATTTGTGAAATAACTGAAAAACAGTTATTATCAAAATCGCATTTTTTCACATAAACTTGCATGTGAATACTCACTTAGAATAAACATTGATCTGAATAATTTTTACACTCATGTCTTTTAGATTATTAGCTATGATAATCTAAAGCTGAACCGTCATGCTGAAATTTATATATTTCTATACTGTAGGACAATAGTTTATTTGGTAATTTTAATTTTTCATCAAAACATTTAATAGTCAGTCAAATGTTCGCTCTTATTAGTGTAAACTATAATTTATCAACTCCTGTCAACCTTTCGCGACCAAAGTTTCCCTCCTAAACAATCTTACTACTGCACTACCAAATCTTTCGCTTCCACGAACATACATTAGCATTCAAGTAATATGATGCTTTATCCACCGTGTTCATGAATGTTTACAGTTACAGACAAAAAAATAAACGAGTCTTTAATCAATATATTCTTTCAAGTCCTAAAATATTTCTTAAGTTATACTACACTCCTTACTTGTATGTTAAGAAATCATGCGCTTGACTATTCAGAAATGAAGCTATTGGGAACACAACTATACTTAATAACATTAATTAAACACAATTCACATGTCTTATCAAACAGCAAAACAATCAAATAGAGAAATACAATCCCCTTTCTTTTATGAAGTAATTCACATCAACTACCATAAGTGTGGAATCGAGTGAGGTATGAGATTTCTTTCTATTCAGAAATTCATACCAACTAGTAAATACTTAATATTGTATTCATTAATATCATAAGAATCTATAAGCCTATTAAAATCATTATTTTGTGGTAATAATTATTGAATTCATCCTAATCTTCATATGGCAGGTTTGTGATGAACCTCACCCAATGCTTATTAAACAGTTGATTGATCATTGTTCTAAGGGTGAATTGTCAGCTGCTCACAAGATCTTACGTCATTTATGGACTTTGGGATATTCAGCTGAAGATATTATCACCATCACTTTTCGAGTAATAAAGAATCATCCAATGGAAGAGTATCTCAAATTGGGATTTATAAAAGTAAATTATTATAGTCTTTCTGCTTTCTTATAGTGAAGTGGGATCAAACATTTTTCCATCAAGTGCACAATTTTGTAAACGCTACATATTTATTTTCTTGCTTTGTACATTTCTTCATGAAGTACAATAGTAATACCAATCAAACTAGAAACCAAAACCTTTTTTATTCGTAGATTTCGTGACAAAAGTATTATATGACATTTCATCCCAATCGCTGTGTATTTAGAATGATATGTATTTATAAAGAAGGGTAGTAAATTCACTAATTGACAGAAAATCCGAAATTTGTTGTGGGAAAAATCAAGATGATATGAATTCGTAAAGTTTTGATGAAGTAACATGCAACCTCCAGTCATTGATAGATTGTGAAGTGTAAGTAAATGTAGTAGTTTCAGTCTTCTCATACAGCACGCTAATGCTGAGGAGCGAATAACAAAGAGAAACTTGAACAGACAACTCAGTAATAACATGGAATCTGTGTGTGTTTAGTGGTACAAAGAGACAACAGTGATTGGTGTACGAACGTGAATTCGATAATATTTGATGTTACAAGCTAAAATGACGGAAAGTTGAGCTTCGGATGAAAATACATAAATCGTCGTCAACTTTCCGTCTGCGATGTGTCATATGATTGTAGATAATGAAGCATCAAAATGTACGATTTTATTCTGGGCAGTTTCAATGTCGTAAGTTCTTCTACAGCTTGTTTACATTTAAAGTTAAAGTACAGTATTGGAACATAGATTTGCCAAGTTAGGTTTTTTGATAAACTATGATATTCCGTAATTATTTATTTAAACTTATTGTCATTTGCCTTTTACAGGAAGTTGGCCTTACTCATTTACGAATTTCCGAAGGACTAGGTACATACCTACAATTAGCTGGTCTCCTTGCTCGCCTTTGTAAAATAGTGTTACCAAAATAAAAATTTTGTTTTTATTAATATACCATTTCCGAATGTTTATTTTGTACAGCTAGTGACTACCTTGATGTGCTTGTATTAAACTCTTCTCACGTTTTAGATTTTTATTTTTGTATTACGATAATGTTAAACTAAAATATATAAATATAACAACCTGGCTAAGTTCATTTTATCGTCTAATAATTGTTGCTGAATATAAGATAAATAAATGATACCCATCTATGTTTTTTCTCACTTACTGTGATGATACTGGATTGCATGTTTGTTTTTTTACAAATTAAGTTGATTAATAGGGTATCTGTGTGCACAGAAATGTTAGTAAATATATCCTTTAGTTAAATCGCACATTTAAATAGAGCAATAACAAGAATATTTGCAAAATACAATGAATTTATTGTATTTCGTTGTTAATAGTTTTAGTTATTTCCAATTTGTAAGATAATTTTAAATTTATTTCTTAATAAGTTGTATGTAATGTGAATGAAAAACAGAACTAAAGTTTCGAAAAATCCTTTCTATAATTACTTGAAGTAAGAGTTTTAGAATGTTAAGATGTTATTAGTCAAATTAGCAACATTTTTTAGAAGTTTAGAAAGGGAAAGTGAACGTGTAAGAGAATAAAATGTTACCGAGCCATTTGACCGATCCTGGATTCCGTAAGAATCGGTTGTGCGCAAACCAAATTGCAACACTACGGATCATCGTCGAACAATCAGTTGAGTGGAACTCATCACTGTACACCAACTTCATTGATTATGAAAAAGCATTTGACAGTATAGATAGGAGGACGTTATGGAAGCTTCTTCGACACTACGGAGTTCCTGAGATTGTCAACATTATCCGGAACTCATACGACAGACTACAGTGCAAGGTCGTGGATGGAGGACAGCTGACAGACGCATTCCAAGTAAGGACCAGAGTCAGACAAGGCTGTATACTCTCTCCCTTACTCTTTCTTCTGGTGGTCGACTGGATTATGAAGATATCTGAAGGAAAACACGGCATACAACGGACAGTTGAGGACCAATTAGACGATTTGGACTTCGCAGATGACCTAGCCCTCCTATCGCACACACATGAACAAATGCAGATAAAGACAGCCAGTGTAACAGTAGTCTCTGCATCACTAGGCCTCAACAAGGGGAAAACCAAGATCCTCAAATACAACACGGACAACAGCAATCCAATCACTCTTGATGGCGAAACTCTGGACGATGTGAAATCATTCACATAGCTGGGAAGCATCATCGATTAACAAGGAGGTTCAGATGCAGACGTAAAGGCGAGGATTAGCAAAGCAAGGATAGCATTCCTACAATTGAAGAACATATGGAACTCAAAACAACTTTCAACCAATATCAAAGTCAGAATCTTTTATACAAACGTCAAGGCAGTTCTACTGTATGGAGCTGAAACTTGGAGAACTCCAACAACCACAATCAAGAAAGTACAAGTATTTATAAATAGCTGTCTACGCAAGATACTCAACATCCATTGGCCGGATACCGTCAGCAGCAGCCTTCTGTGGGAGAGGACACACCAGCTTACAGATGAAAAGAAAATTAGGAAAAGACGATGGAAATGGATAGGACATACATTACGGAAATCACCAAACTGTATCACGAGGCAAGCCCTAACTTGGAATCCTGAAGGGAAACGGAAAAGAAGAAGACCAAAGAACACATTACGTCGGGAAATAGAAGCAGATATGAAAAGGATGAATAACAACTGGATGGAGCCGGAAAGGATTGCCCAGGACAGGGTTGGATGGCGAATGCCGGTGAGCGGCCTATGCTCCTTCACGAGGAGTAACAGGCGTAAGGAAGCCATTTGAAGGCTAACTACTCGCTCTTTTTGAATACGAAGGTCAGCTTTATCATTTCTGTTCATTATGACTTCTGCAAATGTTAGTAACGTCAAATTGGATTGTTTATTGATAAATTTGAATGAGTCTATCGGACCCGTATTATGCCCCGTGGCTGACTAGCAGGTAGGGTTCTATTGAACCTTGTCAATTAATTCCAACTTGAATGCGTGGGTTTCTTGGGATATGTTCATTACAACAGATAGACACTTGTCTTTTTGTCCTTCTGACGTACATGTAAATTGATATATGCATTTAGAAGTAACGTCGGATGTACACTTTTGTTTGTATTAACAAGCACAGTGTTGTATATATTCGTGTAAACTTTGCAGGTAACATGATTTTTAGGGCTGCTTTTGGTTTCTGATTAGTTTCACTCATTTGATAACTTTTGAATGACAGTTGAATCAAACATTCTTTTCAGTTTTGCATTCTTCCGTTTTATTTCTGTATTTATTACTATATTTATAGTTGATAGCGGATAAACATTTTCTTGCAGATCGTTTCTTATTATAGTATGTTCCTTTGGTCAACTTAACTTTCTGGCTCTTTGGTTGAGCGTTTTCACCGACTCATATTTATAGACAGTAGGACTAAAGCTTGTTTGTTCACTCCAGGTTTCCTTACGATGTATATACCTCTGACAGGTCCTATCCTCTCTTCTGGGAATATCTAAGTCGAGAAAATAGAACGTGTCATTTTCTTCATGTTCCATTTAGTATATGGATTAACCTTATTAAAAGATCTAAGTAGTTTGTTTGCATGATATAGGTCATTACACGAAACAAGAATATCAGCACACCTCACATCAAGTGCAGTCACGTTAATTACAAGTAGTGGTTATATTCTTTCTAAATTTCAAACAGATTTGTCAACAAGTACTGTCCATCACCACGTCATCTGCTTAATAATTTGTTAAACTGGGATCGAAAATTATTAGTACATCCTCATTAAGAATTTGAAGTGTGAGTACTGGCTAAGGGTGTCGGTTGTTCCTTCTAAAAGAACATTGGTAAAAAAATTGAAACCGTCAGTCTATACGTTGTATTTATTTGGTCCATCACTTGTGCAAATTCGAAAGTGTCCCTGGCATTTTATATGGGTATTTCGTTACGAATTCATTCTAGTTTGTTAGCTAACCATAGGGCTAGATTGTAGCAACGAAAACTCATCATTGATTTGTTGACCTCATTCGGTTATTGGGTTTACGTGATTCAACCTGTCGATGCATGAGTAGTAAACGTGACCCGCGTAGTTTCAGCTGACTGTATACCTCAATATCATTTATTTTGGTTTTATTTCTCCAAATAATTTGTGTTGTTTTACTTCTTCATAATGCAGTCCTGCTCTTGGTCGAACCCTCTCCTTTGAATTTGTTTGGACTTGGTATTCTTTTTTGTATCCAGTCAGATTTATTCATCGATACCACCACAGAATCCTTTAAAGCTCAGTTTTAGTGTTATAACCAAGCTGTTAGATCAATAGACAACTAGAACTAAATTACAGACATGAAGTATCCTTACTTTAGTGACTAAGTAACAGGCACCACAAACTGTGTATATACATAAGATTTATTTCGTTTAAAGCACGTTTATGGTCTGCAACTTGTTTGGGGTGATGATGTACAAATTTAATTGGATAAAATTTAAGTTAGTAAACTTGACATTGGAAAATTAAGAGCAAACGTAAGTGGATACAGTAACGCAGGTGAACCTGGGGAAATGAAATGGAGAAAGATGATGAAATGAATTCAAGACTAGAACGATATATTTTAAACACAGAAAAAATAATCCAATCCAAAATGCTCTAAGCGTCTCGGTTCGTGAGTTTTGCAATACGTTTCCGACTAACTCGTATTTGTCTTCTGTGGCTCCACTACACATGATCGCATTTTGTGCTTCCTTTAAATTCAGATTTCTTTTCGTAGTCAAACGTACTTACAGAACAATGGATTTTAGTCAAGTGGTGTCAGACGTACGTCGATGGTTTTAATCCCAATGTTCTTCGCATCGTGCACGATCACTTCTTTTCAAGGGACCCGAAAACACGCTGAGCAACGGGTGGGCTTAACGACTTAGACGTGTGGCCACAAAACCCAAAGGATGATTATTTGAGGCCGGTCCTACATGGCTTTTTCAAACTCCGCTTGTTAGCCTCATGCTTTTCAGAACTTATTGCTAACGACAAATATCTGCAGGCTGTTTTCGGGGACGTCATCGCTGCAGATGCTGATTGTTTAAAAGAAACGCCATACTGGCGCTACGAACCTGTACGTCCGACTTAGCCCTCAGACCTTGAGTTTGCTGCTTTCAGCCTTACCGCTCTCCAAGCGACGTGCTTCAGAAGGTGGGACCTGTAAATACGAACGTTTGCCTAGGTCATCACGATATGCGAGCTCGGCCACTATGTCAAGCTGAGATACGATTGGGTAGAACAAGAAATAAGTCTAAATAGAACTTGCAAGAACACTGTTGAAAACTTTTACTGGTACTAGCACTAACATTAGTGTGATGCCTGTGTAGCTCTTACACTTGCTCAAATCTCCTTTTCTTGGTGCCTTCTTTCCGGTATATCGTCACTTGTTCTCCATTCCAAATATTCTTGAAAATGATGTGAAGCACGTTTGCATTTACTTCTGTATATTTAGCTAGTGTGTTGTGTGGTCCTGATGCTTTGACACTTTTGATTTGTCTGATGGCCATGCTGATCTGTTTGATCGTTCGTGCAGTGATATCAAAGGGAAGTCTGTATCAGCTACTTCGATGTCCGGTGGGTTCAGCGAGGCTGGTATGTTCGAGAGTTCTTCAAAGTGTTTTGCCGACCTCCTCTACTGTTCTTGAATACCAGTGATTGTCTTGCCTTTGTTCTTGACTGGTCGCTCCACTTTACTACATTTCTCTGCCAGCCTTCTAACTGTATCACATAGTTGTCGCGAATTTCTTTCTCTTAGAGCTCTTCCCACTCCTATTGCTAGGTCTTTTGTGTATTTCTGCCTATCGTATCTAATGCTTCTCTCCACTCTCTTGTTTGCTTCTGAATGTGCTCTGGCTTTCTCTGCTCTTAGTTGACTGTTGTTAATTCCTATCTTCTTACTTTTCCTTTGCTGTATCCTCCCTAGGGTTTCGATAACGATCCATTC